TTTGTTTGACCGTTGACCTAACCACAAGTGGGGCCCGCACCCCCGAGATGAAATATTAAAGACATTCAAATTTTATTCAAAATCAAATTATACACACATCTATATATATATATATATATATATATATAGTAGAATGCAAGAAGCGTGTATTCCAAATAATAATAATAATAAAAAATAGAAGAAGCGTAAAAAGTTTCGGTCCACGTCTGTCTTACAAAGAAAATGTCTCTTTTTGGAATGTTTTAGGAATATTAATAAAATGGACATATATATATATATATATATATATATATATATATATATAATATTGAGTACTAATAAATGGGGTGGAGCATCTGAACTCATCTAGAAATATGGGTTAATTACCCTAAGTTCATGTTCACTTTATATTTATATATATTGAAAATCTTAACGATATACAATATTAATATTAATATGAGTGTGTCTAAAAAATAATATGAGTGATTTTTCTTTCTTTTTTCTCTTTTTATTTCAACAACAAATGAAGCAAGGGATTAAATTAAAAAAAAATATTGGACTAAAATTTATATATGTATTATTTTGTAGTTTAAACTAATTTTATGAATTTTTAAAATTTTTATTAGAGTATTTAATAATATATTATTGATATTTTCATTAATATTTTTTTTAAGAGTGAGGCTAACATTTCTATCAATATCATATTTATGTTAGTAAAATAATGTGGAGTAAAGAGGTGAACTTTAGACCTCAAGAGAAGGTATAGATGACCGTACCTTCTAACTAAAAAAAAAGTTAATGCTTGGTTAAAAAAAATAATAATAACATTATTCTTAGGAAAAACTTTAATGTTAGCACATTAATTTTCACCTGTGGGCCGAATTATTTCCAAATGAAATCAATAAATTTTATCTCAAATGGCCAAATAAGCAATATAATTAATGCTTGAAATAAAATAGCTTGCGTGGTAGATCCAAATTCAAAAAAATAAATGTACAACTGGGTGTAAAATATTTGAATTCTAGATCAAAAATTTGAAAAGTTTTTTATGATTCAAGTTTCGATTAGGCTTTTATCTCATATGAACTTTAAAAAACTCAAGTTAACCAATCCAAGACCGAGGGAATAGTAACTTTAAAAAAATCATAAAACTTTCTTATTATTTCAAAGTTTGAATTATATACAAATTCAAAGTTTCTAACCTTAGGTTTTTTTTATTATTATTATTTTTTGTTATTAAAACCATATTCAACCATTCTTAAACCAAATTGCCATTACTTGCAAAATTATCAATTTTAAAGTGGAAAAAATATTTCTGATTGTACGTGGTAAAGATTCAGACTCACGACTTTTTTGGACGGAGATAGGTAACTTAACTTATGTTTAGATTCACGGAAAAAGACTTTCTAATGGTAAAAAAATTTTAATTTTTCAAAACTTTTTAAAAAACAACTTCCTCAATCTAAATGTTTTAAAGGTTTTATTTTTATAATTTCAAATATAAAATATTTAGCTCTGATGATCAAATCTTGTACTCGATATTATTAAAAGATTGACACCTCACTATTTTTTTTTTCTAAATCTCTAATATGTATTTGTCTCTTTTTATGGGTAAACATTTAATAGTTGTGAGGATAAAATTAGTAACTAAATATTTTTAATTAAAAATATTATATTTATTTATGATTTTTAGGTTTCCTTACCCATTGAAAATGGCTAACTGATATTTACTGTGCGCGTAAAAGTTCACACAAAAACGGGAAAAATAAATTTTTATATTATTATTATTGTTATTTTGATGTCTAGGGAAAATAAAGTTATTCTTCTCTCTTTCTTCGGAAATTGAAGGGAAATAGAACACAATTAATGAGAAGAAGAAAGGGTCAGAATTAGCGAAAATGCAGATAATAAAAGCGGTATAATCCATATCCCTATTTTGCCCCTACAACCACATAGAGATTAAATTTGGATTATTATTTCTAGTTATAAAGAGTTTTGTTTTTTCTTATTTTTGTTACATAATATATATAGCATGACTTCTCATCGTGTACGTTGACACAATACATCGACATGATTATGTACTAGAGTCGCATAAGTTAACCACTAAGATCATCAGTGTAAATGTCGAAATTTATAGCCTAAAATGATGAAGACATTAGCGTTGTGCCGATCTAAAACACGAGAGATTTTGATGAGATAAAAAAGAAAAAAGTAAAGAAAGTTTTAGAGAATAGTTTGGCTCCTATTTTTCCATCCTCCTATTGTTGGAGAGTATCATGTTATAGGGTCTTGGTCGGAAAACCTTTCATGGAGAGTGGTCTCTAATATCTCTATATGTCACGTTAATGAGGTCGACTCCAATGAAAGGGACTCGAAATGAATATGGAGTATTGGTTAAAATTTTAATTGGAAAGTCTTAATATAGAAATTAGTCTATCATCTAATTAAATTTTATTTTTATTCTGTAAAAAATTATGTATTATAATTTGACAATTTAAGTTTATAGCATATTATTTTCAACAGATTTTTTTTCTTCAGAATATTGCTAATCCTCATTTAATCTTTCTAGTGGCATAATTGACTTCAAATACTACTACGATTTTATTTAAAAACTTCCTTCGCTGTCACTCTAATTATTAACAATATTTTATAAGTAATATATATTTTTATAATAATTTATCTTAATAAGAAATCAATTTCATTATCAAAACTTCTCTTGATATTTTATTTTAGAATAAAATGTAAACCGTTAAGGTAAGGTCAGAAAATGTATTATATTTTGATGTATTTTCATGATTAATACAATACTTTTCAAATTATCATCAAACTTTAAAAATTTCTTATCGAATAAGAAGTAATAAATTTTTAAGTGGAGATTTGTTCTATAATGGCAAAGTGAGCCAACCTAAGTAATTTTCATATGTTAGAGTATTGAATAATATGACATAAAAATCTGAAACTTTGGAGTTTGCTAGATGAAAAGTTGAGAGAGCAAGAGAGAGGGAATTAAGTCAAAATTGGTATAACCTACCAAATATATTTATATTTATAGTAGAGTTTCTTTTAACTGAATTTGAAATAGTGAAAAAAAGGAAATAAAAGGAGAAAAAATTTGAAATTTGAAAAGATTTAATTGTAAAAGAAAAGGAATGATGTAAACAAAATTTAATGGTTTTAGCCCATTAAAATTGTGAGAAATTTACGGAGCGGATTGATTATGGATTTTTTAAAAAGAATTTACATTTAAATGAAGTCTCGAAGATAATTATATATATATATATTATTAGTTTGTATTTTTAATACTATAAAATAGATTTATGAAAGATATAATATTTTATATTGTAAATTACATTTACAATTAAAATTTAAAATAAAAAAAATAATAATATAGTATCTGTATTATATGTTATATGAAAAATATGAGGCCTTATAGAATTTGGAGTCTTAGTAATCGGCTCAGTAGTCTATACCTTAGGTCAGGCTTGCTTGGATGAGTACAACTAACTCTAGGCTCAAAACCTTCCCAGATAATTTTAGGTGACATTGAGGTGTATGTGATACGAACTTCTTAGGAAATTGATGATTTATCTCTCACTAGTTCTTCAAAATTTAGGAACACTCACTAGTGAAAGTTGCATTAAATCAATTGAGATATGAACTTTCCTTGAAATCCTAGTTCTTGTGACGTCAAGAATTGATTTCTTAATCAATAGTCAAACACCCATGCTATATAGGATGATATATGTATGAATATTTTTAATTTACCACCAAAATAATTTGAAGTTGTAAAACAGCGAGGATCTCTTAGCTTAATTAACTTACAACGTTTGAATCAGCTAGTCTGATGTAGACATTCAAATGTGTACCATAAATTATAATTAGGAATATACTATTAAAAATAAACAAAGTAAAAAAATCCTAAATTAAAACCCTAAAACTGTTGAGCCTAATCCGAAGGTCACATGTCAGGCATATAAAAAAATATGTATATAGAAATACCTCTACTCTTAACATAATTTAGATGGGTAAAATTGAAAATACATCATGAAATAGCATCAAAACTTTATAAGAAGTAGAATTAATGTTGCCAATCTAATGAACTCACTACCCATGATGCAAATATGATTTTAGTAGGACTCTGTCTCCTTTGGGAGAGTTCTATTATTCTGAACTATCTTGAAGTTTCTCTTTTTGATATACATGGTCTTGACTATACTTAAGAATATCTTTACAATGTGGAGTTTGGATGACAGTCCCTCGTTAATTATTAAAACCAAAGCCCTTTCTTTGGCCAAATATACTTGGATAACACGGAACTTTCAAGGGTGCCTTGGTTGAGATTAATCAAAAATATAAAAATAATGTAACCATTGAACATTTGTCTGTGTCCCCGATGAACGTGTTGGGATATTTTTTCCCCTCCTTGCAAGGCTGACTCAATTTGAAACTTAATTAACTACACATTCCTCTCTCCCTCTTTTTCTTTCTTGTTTGAGTGAAGAAATGGTTGACCTAGTAAAAACATATAAAGTCTAATATTAAACAAAATGAATTGTAAAAGAAAGGATACATGGCATGAAAAACGGATGCTGTTTGAAAAAACCACCACTCGTTCCCTAAGCCAACGCAATCGCCCGCCCTCCTATCTCCATGCATTCCACAAACCACGACTCCCCCATTTCCCTCAATTCTTCCCCTCACCCCACCGCTCCCCATCTCTCCATGGCGGAGCGGGTCCCTTCTCCTTCTCCTCCTCCTCCTCCAGCTGATTTTTTTTTCTCCTCCGGTACCTACGTCGTTCAGGTCCCCAAAGACCAAATCTACCGCATCCCTCCCCCGGAAAACGCCCTCATTGTTGAGCGSCACCGCAACCCCTCGTCCACCTCCAACCGCCGCCCTTGCTCCTCTTGTTGTTTTCGTTTCATGCTCCCGCTCGTTGTCGTGATCCTCCTTGTTGTCCTCCTCGTCATCCTCATCCCTCATCTCCGCAAACCCAAAGCCCCCATCTTCAAAATCTCAAAATTCTCCGCTCCCAGCTCCCGCCAATTCAACATCAAACTCAAACTCAAAAACCCAAATGGAAGTGGCGCCATTTCGTTTAAACAAGGTGGCCGGGCTTCCGTGTCGTTTAAAGATCAGGACGTCGCCACTGGGAAGTTCCCGGCCGTCCGGCAGCCGCATGATTCCTCCCAAGACGTGGCCTTGGCTCTCCCAACGGCCAAATCCTTGCCCAAGGAGATCCAAAAGAGCTTCAAAAACAACAAAACTAAACGCCACGTGTCACTCACTTTATACATGAAATTATCGGCGGAAACAAAGGCTGCCCAAACGGCAACTCGGAACGACAAATTTGTTGTCGTTTGCACATTCACTGTCGACTCCTTGGCCAAGGCCTCTCGGATATTGTCTCAAGAATGTGACACACAAAGACAATAATGACCTCGCGCAAAAGGGTAAATTTGGTAAAATTACGTTAACAATTTCCATATACCAACTGCTAATGGAAATGATGATCCAATATCCACATCTTTCGTTTTCGTTTTCGTTTTCGTTTTCGTTTTCGTTTTAAGGGCAGATTTTCTTTTTCTTTTTTTTTTTTTCCTAAATGTGAACTTCTTAATTCTCTGTTGATTTATTAATTTTTAGGGTTTGCGTTTTGTAATTTGTTTGTATGATTCTTCTTGTTTTGTGCTGGAAAAATGTCACACTGATCAGTAGCTTGTGTGCCTCACATTCCTGTCTTCTTTTGCTGATTTCTTTGTCTTTCAATTTAAACCGTTAATTAATCTAACAATTACGAAAGGTTTTTTTTTTCTTTTTCTGTCAGTATTTACAGCTCAATTAAGTGCATTATGATAGGGTTGCAAATTAATGGAAATAATTAATGTGGTCGTTCTTCATTTTTAATTCGTACTAAAAATAAATTGAAACTTTGTGATATAAATGGTTGGAACTGGGAAAAAATGTCCTACTATATATAGAGGAGATAATAACCTTTTTAATTGTATTATTTGTTTCTGAGAACTTGAAACTTCGACCTTGTATAGATAAATAATTTTTTGACCAATTGATCTACGTTTGCCTATTATATTTCTATTGATTTATTTTTATGTTTATTATGATATTTTATATATTGCGGTTTTCAAACATTTGTAAACGTATGGATAGTCCCTCGGCCCAATCAGCAAGGCCCATATTAAAGGCATTTGGGCCCTTAGCCCAATTAAACCCTTATCAAGAAGTAATTATAGATTGGGAAAGCTGCCACAAATCTATTTTTATTTTTTACATCACTTACAATATTGCGTTTGTTCTATAAATTCTAAAATTACTATACTTATCTTTTAAGTCATGTCATGCTTAGGTTGATTATCCTAAATCCTGATAAAAGTTATCCATTTCTTCCATTCTAATTCCACAACCAACCATTATACTCAGATAATTTTAACGCAACATTATATGTGGATATAATCGCCAATCAATTCTGCCTATTTATTTTATGTTCATCCGAGTAGTTAAAAGATCTTTCCATACCAACTATGTTTCGATGAAGTATCTATCACATTTTTTTAATCAACACATTATAAACTAAAAGTAATTAAATTTAAATTCATGGTGCCAAGTAAAACACATTGTATCGTACATCTAAATTCCAAACAAAGAAAACGGAGATTAGCTCAGAGGTTTGAATGTTATCTAAATCAATTCCATACTGTACGGTTGATTCGTCAATCTAATTGGCGGATACTATTTTCAAAAAATCTACCCTATAGTTCAAGTAATTATTATTTATATCTAGTTTTTTCACCATGAAGGAAAAATGAATTGAAATTGCATTTTTAGGGATGAAAAAATTGAGAGGGAACATAAGAACTAAATATTGAAGCTGGTGACTGACAGAGAATGCGACAGTAGAGAATAATGGAAGTGGGGATTCAACAGTTCAAAAGTTGAAGAAAGCGAGTTCCCCTTTGTCTTTTCAGATTTTTTTCCCTCAAAATTTCAAAAAATTATTGTCCTTTTTATTATTATTATTATTTTTTTGTATTGGTAGATATTTATTTTTGTCAAAAAGTTGAGAATATATTTTTTTTTCTTTTCCGAATACATAGTGAATAGCCTTTTAGATCCGAATCTTTTGGTTAATAGGTTAATAATTGTGCTAAAGTACGACATTTAATGATTGAAATTAAAAGTTTTATTCTTCCTGAATTTTCTTTCTTCGATTTCCAAAATGAGGGATGGTTTTATAGAGAGAAAATAAAAAGTTATATCACCATTTTAGTTATTCAAATTATGTTGCTTTCAATTACGTTTATATAAAATTTAAAAGTTTTAATTTGGTTCATATGATTTTGTTAAATCTCTCTAAATATATGTTACAAAACAAAAGATTGACAATTTTACTCATGAAAATATGTTACTTACAAAAAAAAAAAAGAAAAAAAAATTATCAATATATGAATCGAGTTGAAACCATTAAAATGGCAATTTAAATCCAAAAAAGCAAATGATATATATTTGTTTATAATTTTTAAAATAATAGTGAGATGATTTGATTAGGATGATCCTAATCAAATTAGTGGTTTCATATCTCTACAACAAATAGGGAGAGAATCATGTTCTATATAAAACACATGGAACCCATAATTTTTTTTTTTTAGAAAATCTTGAATCCACAATCTGAAAGATTTAATCTTTAATTTTGATACTTGTCAATCAACATGGAGGGCTAAGAAATTGCCACGTAAACTCTTGTTTTTGTCTTTTTACAGAAAATTGTGATACCCAAATCATAATCATTAAATTAAAGAAGATTAGACGAACTAATTAACTTACATAAACCAAAGAGATTCTTCTCCAATGATGTCTCCGAAATTGCATTTTCAGATAATAATTCTGTCTCCTACTGCCCACCCCATTCATTACCATATATTAATCTCTCTTTATTTTGGGTCATTACATTAATAATCAATGCTTAGAAATTAAGCTAATTAAATTAGTACCATATTATTGTTCTCCCTCTATGAATAACAACCTACCGCAGCAGCAGACTTGAACTTTTTTCTTTTTTAGTACAACATGTGGTGGCGGGGGATCGAATTTTCAATCCCTCATGGTTGGAAGTACATGTCAATTACGGTTAAGCTATGCTCGTTTTAGTCAAACTCAATTAATTAAAACACTTATTTCGGACCAAAACTGTGAGTTTGAATTCTCACCCTCACATGACGTTGTATTTAAAAAAATAAAATAAAATAAAAAACCTCTCCCAATAAAAAGAAAATAATAATAAATAAACCCTAAAAAGCAAATATCTCTAATTAAGATCCCTGATAACAATTCATTACTAGATATCATTTAATATCTATACTATTACTAATCTATTTTTTCTATTAGGATCATCAACAACGGTTAACTATTAAAGACCCTTCAGAATTATTTTCTAAAGTTTTATATTTCTCTTTTGTCACATCCACTCATTTCATTTAATTTTTTTATTAAAATCGCCAACAATAATTCATTATCGGAGATCATCTATAATAATTGTCACTTTTTTAGAGGTTAAAAACTAAACTTTCACCGCATCTCCATATTTTACTAGCGTTGTTTTCCTATTAGAATCACCATCAACAAGAGTTTGTTATCAAATATCATTCAGAATCATTTTCCAAAACTTATGAATTAAAATTTCAAATTCTTCATTGTCACAATCGGCTATTTCACTTATGTAATTTTTCCATCACAAACCATCTAGAATCACATTTTAAAACTTACTAAACTTTTATATTTTTCGATTGTTGTCACATCCTCCATCTCACTAGTGTCATTTTTCTACAAGAATCACTGTATATTAACTACGGTTTGTAAGACCATCCAAAATCATTCTCCAAAAGCTTTAAAAAACCATAGCTTTCAGATTATTCTTCATTTAATTACCACCTCCACCACTTTACTACTGATCTCATTTTCTAAAACTAAAATCACTAACAAACGGTCCGACGTTGTTGTTAGAGACCATTTTGAATCATACTCAAAATATAATCATATAATTACCCAGAAACATATGAAAAAAATATGTTTAATTAATACTATTCTTTCTTTCTTTATCCTCTTCAGCTCATATTATATATGGTTAAAAGTAAAAAAAGAAAAAAGAAAAACCCTAGAAAGCAAACATCTGAGGCATATGTTCCCTTGGGAAAGGTCATGTCCAGGTCACACATGCAAAATCAAAATCTAATAATATATGGCAGCAAATTAGAGGCTGAGGGGCACCCCCTCCTATCCTAGGGCATGGACCAGTTTTGGGGGCCGCCCAACCCCACACACACACACACCACAGTCTTTGTATTATTATTGAGAATCTCAATGACCCAACAAAAAACCCTTTCTTTTCTTTTTTATCTTTTTGACACATAAAATAAGGACACAGTCCCTTGGCTTGGTGGTATCCCTCCAGTGAATGTCCACACAGATATGGTACCAAAAAGCCCCACCATTTCTAATAATAATGCTGCTGCCCCCGGCCTCCTGCGCTCAACGTACATTTTTGTTTCCATACTAACATAACAAACGTAAATATCCTCGTCAATCTTAAGAAGCTCTCGACCCGAATCTGATGCTTTTAGGGCGATAATAATTAGATTTTAGGGTCTAGAGGGGAGGAATGAGTATGATTGATTGGGGGCTAATTTTCTTACAGGTAAAACTAGGGATCGGAGGGATCATATATATGGATGTTGAGTGTTATGTTTGTGCATTTTATATATAAACATAAAAGGAGATATTAGGGGGTTTTTTAATTAGAAAAAAAAAAGGAAAGAAGAAAATGTGGGTGTTTATGAGAAGGGTGAAGAAGAGAGAAGTGGAATCCAACTCCTCTTTCAACAATGATTCCCCCTTTTTGGCCAAGAAAGTAGTGGGTTTTCCTTTTCACCACCTAACCATTGAAAATAACCCCATTTCAAAAACCACCATCTTCCAATCACAAAACACCTCTACATTCCTTCATTCCTCCCCTTAAAATCTACCTCCAATCGACAGGTTTGGACTCTCTTGACGATATTGGCTTAGAATTCTTAAGTTCGAACTTTTTACTGGTTTAATATTAAAAATTCTTGATGTCTCTCAAATCCAAACCTTGGGACGGACATGGGTACCCTTGAGTATAAGGGAGCAAGGTTCCGATTCTTAGATATTAGGGAAAAAAAATCTACCACCAATGTCCCATTTCAATGGTGTAGCATATTTTTAACCAACAACCTATATAGGTCGTGGAATTGTATTCAAACAACATTTATTATATATTTCAATATTCAATCAAATGCTGTATGCGATGCTATGGGTTTGATATATATAACAAGATTATCTCATGTAATCTGGATATATATATTATAAGATATTTGTAAAAGGATATATTATCCAAAATAATGTTAACCGAGAGAGAGAGAGAGTAGTACCTTTTGGTTGTTTAATCAAGGTTTGTGAAGTGATGCCCATATCACACAATCAGTCATAATTAAGTTTAACCTTTGAGATCATAATGTGTTCAAATGCCTTCTTCTTGTCATTGATCGATGATGAAACTAACATAGATTAGTTTACTAGTTTAAAGGAATCAAGGTAAATCAAAAAGATTTAAAGAGAATGAGTTCAAACTCCATAATAGCCACTTATCTAATAATTAATTTAAATATAGTAGGATCGGATGATTTCGTGAGATTAATCTCAAGGTACGTACAAACTGGTCGGGATACCCACGGATAACAAAAAAAAATTAAACATAGAGGAAGAGAATAATGGAACTATTGATTTGACAGTCAAATGTAATTATTTCTTAAGCTTATATATTTTCCAAATGCATCATATAAAGTAGAGGGTCAATTTTTGTTTTTGGAAACTTTGAATATACGTACTTATTTACTAATTATAAGAAAATTATTATGAAATGAGTAGTTATTAAATAATTACAATTTGTTAGATATATATATATATTTGGTAGTGAAAAATAGTTTTAACTATGGGCAGTGGGGGTTGGAAATGGAAAATGGGGTGCCCCCATGGTTTTGCTTATTAATTATATTATACACAATAATGATATATATATATATATATATATATATATATATTATTCATTAAATTAAACATACAAAACACAAACTAGTGTGCCCTTATGGTTTTTGTTTTAGTGTCTCAATCACCACCAATCTCTCTCTCACTTAACTTTACAACTGTGTTTCACATTTTCTCTCTCTACATTATTGAGAATTTTGTATTTTTAATTAATGGGATGTTATGGGACATGCAAGAGCTACGTGCTAAAATCTCCTATTCAAGTTACGACTTTTTTTAGATAGATATCTTAACCACTTGAATTATGTTCGGTTTGGGAAGTTACGACATTCATGAATAAGGAAAACACTTCCATTAAGTTTTTAATGAACGGAAAGAATAATGCATAAAGGAAGAGAAACAATGTTTTATTTTACATTCAAATTTTTAGCATTGTACAACGATTAATTTTTTAAATTGTTGCTTTTGTTTGTCGTCTTGTCTTGTTTTGTTTATGCATGGATTTAAATATGTGAGAGTAATAATATATTAAAGATGATCGAAAATAAGAGATTATATTTATGTTAGAATATGTAATTGTTTAGAAGAGATAAATGAGTTAGGGTAAAAAGGGATTCCAAAATAATTATGAGAGTGTTGAATTGTCTCTCATAAAAATTAGGCATTGATATTTAATAATGGGCATAAAATTACATAAACATAAAATAGAGAATTAATTTGAAAAATAAAATATAATCCACTCTTTGAGTGAATTAAAATCCTTAAATCACTCTCTTCTTTCTTCCTATTTTGTTAATCCCATTGATCTTTTCCACTCTACCAGACGGCATAGAAACTCCTCCACCTGCACCACCAACACACAATATTTTTAAATCCTAAACCCTAAAAATTAAGTACAATGATCACAAAATAATAATAATAATAATAATAATAATAATAATTAATAATAAAAGAAAAAAACATTTTTTTTCTTTTGTTGTTACCTCGGATGGTTCTTGCAATGAATAAGAAGCAGAAGTTTCTTTTGGGAACTTTGAGACAAGGATTCCAAACCCTAATCCTTTGCTCTGCAAAACCTGTTCGTAATCTTAAACTAATTAATAAATATATAATCCTATATTACATAATACAAATTAAATAGATAATACTAACTCTCTTTTTTTTTCTTTTTCGATACCTTGAATGCGTCCTCGTCGGTTCGATCGTCGCCAATATAAACAGGCAGAACATCACTAGAATTTGCAAACCCTAAACAAAATTTTAATGAAGGAGAAGCTAAGGTCATTTCATTTGAAAAAGAATTGAATCACTAACCCTTATTTTTTTCAATAATTTTTTAATAGTGATAGACCACACATCATTTTTAATACGATATTAACAAAACAAACAGTGAATAGAAAGAATATCCATACTCTCATAGTACCAAAAATTTTCAAGTTGATCAATTACCTAAGGACTCGAGCAAGAATTCGAGAGCTTTGCCCTTGTCCCATTTGATGGCAGGACGAATCTCTAACACCTATTCATTATTTTGTCTACTTAGTCACCCACATGAAAATAACAATAAAAGTAAAAAAGTACAAGTTCTAACACGTGCGAGAGAGATTATTTTATATACCTTTCTTCCGATAGTGAGGATCAATTCGGGATACTGATTAACCACGGATTCAACTTGGTCGGCTAATGCACCCCATCTCTGCAATTTTAATCCTTCAATTATATTTCATTTGTGGGCTGTTTTTTAAATTTAAAAAGAAGAAGAAAAATGGTTACTTTTTCATCGACGCAGCGAAAATGAACAGATAGACAGAACTTGTTGTTTTCCACTTTAGCTCCTGTAATCGACTTTGTTATATCTGACAAAGTTTTATGTACCTGAAATTCATAACCAAATTATCTCAATTTTCAATTCAAAGTTGAAACTCCATATTTTTTCCATGTGGGATTTACTTTTTCCCCAACACAACAGCAAAAACAAACCTCGTCAATCATGGGTAGCAGCTCACTTGCCGGTTGGAAAAGCACTGCTTCATTTCCCTTCAAAAAACACACACAAAATTTAATCATTCACTCATAAAACCAAAAGAAAAAAAAGTTAAAAACCGATTCCCTCCTTACTTTATGGCCTTGTGTTGGGCCTTGTATGTCCATGCCATGGCTCCCTGCATAGAACAATTCTGCTAATTTTACGAAATCATAAACCTGTAATGGAAAAAAAAAACAGGGTTCTGTTGAGTTTTGTAAAATATATTGAATGTGGGTTTCTTAATAATCATAGTTTATATTGTTTTGAAACTAATTAATACGTACCTTGTCTCTACACCTTCCGCTGACTATGGCGGTTGGAAAACATGACGCAACATTTCTTACAGCTGCTCTCATCTGATTCCAAAAAAAATGTCAAAATCATAAAGTTTAGGCTTGTTTTCTCACAATTTCTTGGTTGTTTTGGTTTTGGAATTTGAAAGGAACCTCATTAGTGATGAATGCTCGATCGGGATCTTCGACGATTGGGGAAAGAGTGCCATCGTAGTCCAAAAACATGACTATTTGTTTGCCTTTGGAGGCGGTTGTAATTTGGTCGAACATGTTGAGTGCAGACGGAAGCTGGAGCTACAAACACAACAATGCACAGAACACAGAAAGAAATTGTGATCAACATTGAAAAGTAAAACAAACCAGGCATTTAATTGAATTGAACCGGATCAAAAAGCTTACGATCCAAGAGGGTTTGGATTGGGGGAGAGAAATGGGAGAGTTGAGACGAGTCGGGGAAGAAGCCCTCATGGAATCAACAGAGCAGGCAATGGCTCTGCCTCTGCCATTGCCATTGCCATTTTCGCTTCTCTTCAAAAGCTTCTTCCGAGACATGTTGGCCATGAGGCCGGCGAGGTGGGCGACAGTGAAGGCCACGCCGATACGCGATTTGGCGTCCGGAACAGCGGGCTTCTGGTTGGTCATTTGGGGGTTCCAAGTTCCAACAAAACAGAGCAAAAACAGAGGATTTTGATTTTGGTTTTGCTGTTGGTTTTGGTTTTGGTTTTGAAGAAATTAATGTAACTGTGTGGGTTTGAGATTGTGAAGAAGAAGAAGAATAAATGAAAGGGGAGTGGAGAAGAAGGGATTGGAGAGGTCAATTTATAAGTGAGCTTCAGTACATTCAGTAATGGAGAAACACCATCTCTCTCTCTCTCTCTCTCTCTCTCTCTCTCTCTCTCTCTCTGCTTTTACTCTCTCAACCCCACCGCACCAAATTTTATTCTCTCCTCTTTTATAATCCAATCCCACAATTCTCAATTTTTCTTTTAATTACCTCTCTTTAATTCTTGTTTTCTAGCGATTGGGTTTGCTGGGCCCACCTTGAAAAAGTAATTAATTTTGTTGATGGGCGTGTTACATTTGGATGCAGTGGATCGAAGTATGGTATTGAAGAGATCCGTGTAACATTGTTGAATTTTATGACCCTAGAATCATATATATAAGTCAATAAGATAATGGAATCAAAATAGAAAATTTATGTCCTAGAAACAAAACGATTTTCAACACTATTACATATTCGTAAAAGGAGTAGGAGATTGTTTTCTTATAAAGATTATAATATTGTTTTTCCTATAAAGATTAGGATATTTGAATTTATAGTCATTTTGTTTAGGTTTTATTTATGTGTTGTTGCACATCAAAATGTCGGTTGAGCGTGTAGGTACACAAATTTTCAGAGGGCAGTGATAATGTTTCAAAGATGAGATCCCGAGGTCGTAGAGTATCGTCAGCAACTTATTATTGTGGGTATTTTGTGAGGTTTTTCATTCCTGTTTCTTAGGATTCTATTTTTATAATTCCTAGAAACTATGTGACTTTTGTCAAGATCTCTAGATCTGAGAGATTATTGTATTTGTCTATTGTATTATCCCACAATCATACTAGAACTCATTGTCGTGAAAGACTGGACTTAACTTATAGTTGGAGTGAACCATTATAAATCTTACTGCGTTTTCCCTATATTTCTCTTCTTGTGTGATTGACTTAGTTTTTGACTACTCTTAAGGTTAAAAAATATTTCAAACCATTCCATTATTTAGATATTTCGTTGTTTAAGATAATACCACTTGTACTATTCTATGGTCATATGGCAATTAAATGTAATACAGTTAAATCTAAGTTTTGAATGAATGTATATAACTGCACATAAATAATCAAAGTGACGTGTTAATTTAATAAAATAAGTACTTGACATAGATCATTAATAAATATTGAAAATATGAATCGAAGAGTATTCCTTAATTTAATTGAAAATTAAGGTGCCACGTACACATGAAAAGTCAAATACAATAACATCTTCGTACAAATGTTTATCAAGAATCCAAAAGCAAAATGTGGAAAATATGCATACCATTGTGTGCAAATATGAAGAAACTTTGTTCGCGGGCTATTTTCGAAAAATATTTTTTGACCCTTTGTACAAGTAATTGCCTAAATTTCGTTTTCGAGTATCTGGCTGATGGAAACCCTTTTTTTTTTCTCAGGTTTTACTAGAGTATGGGTGAATTTTACCTCATTTGAAAATAAGAAGATTGGGTAAAAGCAAATGAAAATGATATATAAGAAAAGAAGATGGGTGTGCCTATCTTAGAGCACTAAAGAGAAGAAAAAGAAAAASAAAAACAAAATTGGTGAAAGGACCACTTAACCCCACTTCCCAACATTTGATTGATTGTTATTTGGGATTGCTAGTGCTCAACAAGGGGGTTTTATGTGAATTGTCAGGTTCAGCCTTTTTATTAAAAAAAAAAATTGCTTCTATTTTTGATGAATTAATAATAGTTAATGATTGTGATATGAAGAAGAGTTGAGAATGTGAAGCTTGATTAATTAACATTAATGTAAACAATTAGTTGGATTTGATTGATATATTTGTGCTTAATTATTAACTTAATTGTAAGGTTTGGAACTTAGTGCACTTCAACATCTCTATAAAGCTCCCCTTTTTTTTTAATGAACTTTCTATTCTCTCTCCTTTAACATTTAGAAGCTTTAATTTGCTTCTCTTTTATTAAAGTTGTGGTTTTCCCTCTCACTCATTGAGGTTATGAAAAACCTATAAAACCCATTTCAAGTTTCATGGCAATTTAACACAAAATGAAAAGGTTAATAAATCTCATTAAAGTAAAATAATAAGTTTATTTGTAAAAACACTTAAAATGGTCTAGAAAACAAAAAATAAATCAATTTAAAAAATTTTTTAAATGAAAATGTTATCAGACCAAATTATAAAGTTAAATTATTGTCCAAATAGGGGAGTTTCAATTTTGGAATAAAACAAATATTTTACACCTTTTAAAGTTAGAAATCAAAAAAGCAGCTGCTTTTTTTTCTTTTCCTTTCTCTCTTTCTTTTTCTAATTTGTGATTAAAGTGGAAATAGAATGGGAAGGAAAATGAAATAACATCAATCGGACTCTCTTTCAAAAGTCAATTTTTTGTGCTTTCTTTCCAAAACAAAAGTAGATAAGAAAAGGAAATTACTCCTTTCATTTGTTGCGACATATGGAAAAAAAAAATTACCATATTTAAATTATGAATAGATATCTTAAATGGGTTAATATTATCAGTTGAGTAATCCTTGAAAATTAACGTTTTGTAACCATCATTGGTTTGGATAATTAGATAATAAATTCAACACTAAAGTTGATTAAGTATATATCTGTTATCCATAATATCTAATATTGAAGTTGACAAATTTATTAATATTATTATTATTTTTTTTTTGGCAAAGGAAAAGGTTGATTATTATTTGAGGATGGACTTTTATTGTCGGATTATTAAGTTCCCTTTTCCCATGATTTTGTCATAGGACAGATGTAATTGAATAAAAATAGTCCAGAAAAAAAGCTTCCATTGTCAGCAAATAATTAGTAAAGATTTATTCTAATGTTAATTTTGGAAATTATCCACATCAAAAATAGTAAATAATTTCCAGGCGCATTAATATATATTAATGGTCTGGTATTTCTGTGCTTCTTAACAACCAAAAGAGGTTAAAAAAAAAAGATTTAATCACGTTTAAAAAATTTTGTAATTTTATTTTGAAAAAAAAAATCATAATCAGCACAGGATTCTTCTTTGTTGCAAAAAGTTCCTTTCGACATCTCTTTTACACGCCGATTTTCCGTCAGAGTCAAATCCGGAGTGCTAATTCTGAGTTGGAAGTCAGCTTAAAAAGTATAAAAAGTTTTGAATCATATTCATATTTTCTTTTTAACTTTTTTTTTTTAAAATTCTACTTTGACATAAGCGGAGATTCGAACCTCTGAYCTTTTGATTGATGATAAATGTCTTAGTCACTCAAGATATATTTTAATCAACATTATTCAGTAGACTAGTCTAATATAATATTACGAATTTTGTATGATTCCTATTCCATATAATTATTGAGTTAAAAAAAATATTGTTCTTMAGCTATAAGTTGATTGATTTATTAAAGATCTCAGGTTGAAAAGAAAATAAACCTTACAATGATTTATAATAGACATAAACTACTCCTCTCATTGCCAATTAGTTTTAAAATGGAACCCTATGAATTAATGTAGTATCAGAGTCCAAAACGCTCAAACAAGCAACTGGTCAAGTTTTGAAASCTAYCTAGCWACTACTAGCATTTTATAATTGATTATCCCTATTTAAACTTTATGCATAAACTTTTGTTCCGTTGTCATAAAATGTTCATATTGAATTTGAATTTAAAATTTACTCGACAATGTACATACTTATATTTTGAATTCAAAATTACACATCTGAATACATATGTTAGGTTGTGTATGACCAATTGAGATAAAATATTTGAAAGTTTAAGAACGAGATACTGAAGAAGCTAATAATGAAAGCGGAATCTAGACCAAAACAATTATGTGGCGAGGTAGGCAAGGGCATGTGAGGGAATAATGGGGGATGGGGTCAAAAGTTTTTTGTGGTTGAAGAAGGAAGAAGAATGAGAGTTAGGCCAGGGAGGAAAAAGGAAGGTGTGCTAGAAGAGGAGCTTAATACAAAGTTTGGAATAACTTGGGGGTGAAGAAAAGGATTTCTTTTTTTTTGAGGGGCATTCTTAATTTTGTGTTTTATATGTGTTCTAGAACTTAAGTTTAAAGGTTTTAATTAATGGGTGTGAGACCATATAGAMCATAGAATATTGGAATTCCAATATATCCATCCATTTTGGTTGTTAAAATTAACTTTGTGCTAACYATTGRCTCTACAAAATGTAAGTTAATGGTCATTTTGAATTCATATAAACCTCCCTCRTACAATGCATTTTGAGACCTTTTTTAATAATGTCATGAAAAATATGAGATAAGAATATGGAATTTTTTCATGAATAAAATTCTTCCTAGCTAGACACAATYATCAGCAAGGGTAATGAAGTCSGATACATCAATCGTCTATAAATAAATAGGATTCATAYCTAAAAGTAATATGTCTTGGGCGAGGRCGACTAATTTAAAATTGTTTCAAGCTAAACACACATTTAACAATAGATTGATTATTAGTGAATGGGATATAGAGATATAAAGRGCACATCGCTGGTATGTATAGATCATATTGTATATCTATCAATTCTATAAATTTTTCGTAACTGTACAAGGAGCCGCTCATGGCTCGTTTGGTAACGTTACTGTTTCTTGTTTCTGTTCTTTTACCCTTTATTTTTAATGAAGAAAAATRTATTACATGGTTCCAACTTCTAAGAATTCAAGTATGATAAAACAGTATTTTTATTTATGTTTTGGAACAAATTTAAAATGAGAATAAGAAAGGATAAACTAGTTTTGGTTGTTTGTAAAAATTCTATACAATTGTAAGGATGTTYCTAAAAAAGGAGAAACAGTAAACAAAGTTAATTATTAGAAAATACTTAGATTTCTTAAGAAAATTAGAAATGACAAACAAAATGTTACCAAACGAGCCCTCATCAATTCATACTTCCATCATATATTGCATCAACGGTTCACTTCTTTGCTGCATGTCTCATGTTCG